AATAGAATAGAATAGAATAGAATAGAATAGAATAGAATAGAATAGAAGAGAATAGAATAGAATAGAATAGAAAATAGAATAGAATAGAAATGAAATGAAATACAGGAATAGAATAGACTAGAATAGACTGGAATGGAATGGAATGGAATGGAATGGAATAGAATAGAATAGAATAGAATAGAATAGAATAGAGAAGATAATTAGAGAATATGGAATGGAATGGAATAGAAATTAGAAATAGAATAGAATAGAATTAGAACAGAATAGAATAGAATAGAAATACAGGAATAAAATAGAATAGAAATTAGAATAGAATAGAATAGAATATGGAATGGAATGGAATAGAAAAGAAAATAGAAATAGAATAGAACTAGAATAGAATAGAATAGAATAGAAATACAGGAATAGAATAGAATAGAAATTAGAATAGAAATTAGAATAGAATAGAATAGAATAGAATAGAATAGAATAGAATAGAATAGAATAGAATAGAATAGAAATTAAAACAGAACAGAAGAGAATAGAGTGGAATCCTTTATTGGCCAAGTGTGATTGGACACCCGAGGAATTTATCTTTGGTGCAGAAGCTCTCGCTGTACATAAAAGCTATAAGTGACAAATCAGGATCATAGCCATCAAACACATTCGTCGTAAATCATAAGATACAACACTTTGTGATAGTCATAGGATACTAAATAAGCGATCAACCTAATCGCGCTGGGAAACTAAACAAAACAGCATATAAAGGATACTTTCCCCATTAAGGAGAGCAGGCCACAACTCTCTCATTTTCCCTCTGTGTGTGTGTGTGTGTGTGTGTGTGTGTGAGGCAGGTCAGCGGGGGTGACACCCTTCCTGGTTTCAGGTCACCCCCCAACCCCTCCCTGGGGCCGGACTAAGCCTCGCTCTGGCTCCGCCTCTCTGCTCCCCACTCCGGATGGGCCCCGGGGCTCGCCTGCCCCCCCCAGCTGCCCCCTCCCCCCTCCTCCGCAGCTCCTCCCCTCGGCCGTGGGGGGGGCAGCGGAGGCCCCTCCCCAGCCCCTCCCTGCGCTTTCAGGTCTTCCTGGAGATCGAGCCCGTGGTCCTGTCCTGCCTGCAAGGCTACAACGTTTGCATCTTCGCCTACGGACAGACGGGCTCAGGCAAGACCTACACCATGGAGGTAAGGCCTCGTCCAGCGGAGGGGAGGGGGGGCAGGGGGGGGCAGGGGGCTGAGGGAGGAAATTGGTAGCTCAGGGTTGAACCGGGGTGGGGGGTGGGGAAGGGGGGTCCTTGGAGAGCTGGAGGTTTCCTTGCAGACGTTTCATGACCCAACTAGGGAACATCATCAGGAGGGCTAGAAGGGAGCAGGGTTTTTTTTTTTCTCTGATTATACACAAGGCTTTCCCTATCGAATGTAAATAAACAGGGAGCAACCCCCCCACCCCTTATAGCCCTGATGATGTACCCTAGTTGGATTACGTGACGTCTTCAAGAGATGTTTCATGACCCAAGAAGCTCACAAAGCACCAAGGACTCCCCAGTCCTCCCCCCCCACTTCTCCTCCTCCTCCTCCTCCCTGCAAACCCAATTCCCTTGCAGCCCTGATGAAGTTACCTAGTTGGGTAATGAGACGTCTACAAGAAAACCACCAAGCTCAGAGAGCATCAAGGACTCCCAAGTCCCTCCTCCTCCTCCTCCTCTTCCTCCTCCTCTTCCTCCTCCTCCTCCTCCCTGCAAACCCCTCCCTTCCAGCGCTGCTGAAGTTACCTAGCTGGGTCATGAAACGTCTGCCAGAAAACATCCAGTCTCAGAGAGCCCCGAGGACCTCATGAGAGTCTGGAGACAGGAAGGGGGTTGCAGAAGACAAATGCCGCCCCCCCTCCCCGCCCCCTTCAGGGCTCCCTCCCTGGGAGGAAAAAAAGGCTCCCAAACTCTCCTTTCCTTCCAGGGGGTCCCAGGGAATCCAGGGATCAACCAGCGGGCCCTGAGGGCTCTCCAGCAGGAGATGGAGGCCAAGAAGGCTCAGTCGTGGACCTTCTCCGTCCACCTCACCATGGTGGAGATCTACAATGAGGCGATCAGGTGAGCAGAGGAGGATCCCGGCCTTGCCGGAGGATGGCGGTTCATGGCAACCCAGAGCTCCGTCGGCCTAATTTTTCCTTCCGTGCCCTACAGAGGTTTAGTGCCTGAAAGATACTATTTATTTCCATCCCGCTTTTTTATTACTTTAGGAGTAACTCAGGGCAGCGAACGTATCTACTATTCCTTCCTCCTGCTGTTTTCCCCACAACAACCCTGCGAGGTGGGTTGGGAGAGACTGACTGGCCCAAAGTCACCCAGCTGGCTTTCGTGCCCAAGGCGGGACTAGAACTCCCCGTCTCCTGGTGATTGGCCCAAAGTCACCCAGCCGGCTTTCGTGCCTAAAGCGGGACTAGAACTCCCCGTCTCATGGTGATTGGCCCAAAGTCACCCAGAGGGCTTTCATGCCTAAAGCGGGACTAGAACTCCCCGTCTCCTGGTGATTGGCCCAAAGTCACCCAGCCGGCTTTCGTGCCTAAAGCGGGACTAGAACTCCCAATCTCATGGTGATTGGCCCAAAGTCACCCAGAGGGCTTTCATGCCTAAGGCGGGACTAGAACTCCCTGTCTCCTGGTGATTGGCCCAAAGTCACCCAGAGGGCTTTCATGGCTAAGGCGGGACTAGAACTCCCCGTCTCCTGGTGATTGGCCCAAAGTCACCGAGCTGTTTTGCACAACTAAAGCAGAACCCTAATCCTTAACTCCAGGGAGCAATCCGCTTCAGTGCTGGAGCAGCCACAACTTCTAGTGGCAAGCCGTTCCCCTGGTTAATTGTTCTGACTGTCCGGAAGTGTCTCCTGAATTCCTGGTTGCTTCTCTCCTTGAGGAGTTTCCCCCCGTTGCTGGTCCTCCTGCCTCCTTCAGGGGCTTCTGGGAAAAGGTGGAGGAGAGCTACCTGCTCCCATTCTCTCTTCTCTCTCCCATCCAGAGATCTACTGACCAAGGACCCTCAGGAGAAGTTAGACATCAGGTTGCATCCCGATGGGAGCGGGCAGGTTCACGTCCCGGGCCTCACCAGTGTGGAAGTCCAGAACTTCTCCGAAATTCAGAAGGTAGGCGGACTGGATCCCATTTTGGGGACCGGTTCGGTGAGACGGGCACGGCCAGTCCGATGGTGAGCACAGGGTGGGCAGGGAAGGTGAGGTTCTGGGTTGTGGGAATTCACTTGGCAATGCCAAAGCTCACCTGGGACGGCAGACGGGTGTGAGCCACTTTGGTCTAGTGCCGGGGTCTCCAATTGTGAAACTCTTAAGACCCGTGGACTTCAATTCCCAGAATTCCCCAGCCAGCATAACCTGCCCCAACTCTGTTCATCTGTATCATCATCCTCTTCTAAGGACCCCATAATCCCTTGCATCGGGGCGGAGTCCGGGCAACTGAATGGGGCTGAGTGTTTACTGGCCGGATGCCTTTCTTGTCGCCAGGGAGGAGTTATATTCGGCAGATAGATTCTCGTTGATCGAACTCACGGCCTCCTGATTGGAGGAGAGAGCTCCACCTCTCGGCCACCGCGCCCCTTTCCAACTCTGTTCATCTGTATCTGTCTCAGATTCTCCAGCTGGGAAAACGGAACCGCACGACCTTCTCCACCCACATGAACGCGCACAGCTCCCGTTCGCACGCTCTGCTCACACTTACGCTCACGGGCACTGAGTTGACCAGCGGCACGAAAGTCACAGGTAGCTGTGGACGCCTTCCCACCCTCCCCCCGCCACCACCAAAAAAAAACTTTTTTATTTGGTTATAAAGTACCAGCTGGATACCCAGGTGCTTCTCTGCGGAACTATGTGGTCGGGCTTAGTTTTGGGGGAGGAAAATAAAGGGGAACAAATTCTTCCTCTGCCGACCAGCATCCGTCGGTATTCATCTGGCTAGCGTCCTGTCAGTGTGTGAGAGAGTGGAGGGCTGTTTGGAAACGGAAACAGTATTTGCTGTGTGAGCAAGGAGGAGACAGCAAGGAGCCTGGGCGTGGCTTAGCTCAACTGTTCTGGACTAAAGCTGCTTGGAGCTGTGAAACTGAAACTCCTCTGCTTGTGTTTTGCATTGGGGAGAGATTTCTTTTCAGGTGGGGAGGGGGAGTAGAACTCCTTAGCATCAGAGCGTGTTAATAATAATAATAATAATAATAATAATAATAATAATAATAATAATAATAATAATAATAATAATATAAGAAATACTCTAAATGCTCTGAGGGTCATTTGGAAAAATCCTTTCTCAGTGAGCCCCTAGAAGCCAAGAGGAACCTACGGGCCAAATTTCAAGTTTGTAGGCTTTTACGGTTCTGGAGATTCTGTGATGATGCCTGAGGGGCATTTTGCTTTTATAGATATATAGATTATAAAATGCAAAGCACACAAGTACGTAAAAAGAGCAGTGAGAGCAGAGGGGCAAGGGTAGAGAGAAACGAGGAAAAGTAAAGAAAAGAAAAACCAAAGTAGAATTGACCCCCTCTGTGGCGGAAGAATAAGGCCTTACCCTCAAATCCCCGCTTTCTGCTTTTCCCTAATAATAAGAACATTTCTCTTAAAGATCTATCCATCTCATCTGTAAAACCCAGTCAAAATTTCGTTATTTTCCCACCTCCAGCATGGAGTTTAGAAGCACAAGATTGTTACTGGAGAGAGGCCTGATTGAGGACTCTTGGCTATGGATGGGTCCCATTGGAGAATACACATCCAGGGGGTGGGAGGAAGACCAGGGTCAAGGGGGAATTGAGTGGTGTATCTTAGTGTCGGCTGCACCCAGGTAACGCCGACACGGCCACTCCTAAGAAATCCATTTTTGTTTTCTCTGAGAGATTTGAACGGGGTGGATTTGTCGGAGCCTCTACTTCCATCGGGGGGGGGGGGGGGGGGGCTGAAGCCCCCCCCCCAATGCTCTTTTAAGCCCCCTCGCCCTGGATCAATGCAGAACCGCCTTCAGTGCCGGAGAGCTTGACCAACCGCCTTGTCCTTCCAGGGAAGCTCAACCTGGTGGACCTGGCGGGCTCAGAACGGGTGTGGAAGTCTGGCGCGCAGGGGGAGCGTCTGAAGGAAGCCCAGAGCATCAACCGGTCCCTGCTGGCCCTGGGAGAGGTCATCCAGGCCCTGCGGACGAAGCAGGCCCACGTGCCCTTCCGCAACTCCAGGCTCACCTACCTGTTGCAGGACTCCCTGGGCAAGGGCAGCAAGACAGTCATGATGGTGCAGGTGAGGGCAGGTGGCAGGGATGGGGCCCCCCAAAGGTAACAGGGCTGGGCCCAAGGCCCTTGGCTGAAAGTTCACCAACGACGGCAGAGGTGGTACCTGGCTCAGGTACAGCAAAGGTGGTACCTGGCTCAGTAGTATAACTGTGAGAGGGATCGTGAGGTCCTAGGGGGACAATCCCTTAGATAGGAGCCAGACGTGTGCTGCAGCTGCCAAAAAAGCCAACACAGTCCTAGGTTTCACCAGCAGAGGAAGAGAATCAAGATATGACCTGAAGGGTTGATACCACTTTTGTAAGGGTGAGGCCACACTTGGAATGTGCTGCGTTCAGTTTTGGTAGCCACGATGTAAAAAAGGATGTGGAGACTCCAGAAAGAGTGCAGAGAAGAGCAACCAGGAGGATGAGGGGACTGGAGGCTCAAACATACGACGGACGGTTGCAGGAACTGGGCCTGGCTAGTCTAGGGGAGAGAAGGACCAGGGGAGACAGGATAGCGGTCTTCCAATATTTGAGGGGCTGCCACAGGGAGGATGAGGAGGGGGTCAAGCTCTTCTCCAAAGCACCTGAGCTACAAGGACAAGAAGCAACAGGTGGAAACTCATCAAAGAGAGAAGCAAAATAGAACTAAGAAGAAATTTCCTGTCATTTAGAAAAATTAACCAGTGGAACAACCTGCCTCCAGAAGTTGTGAATGCTCCAACACTGGAAGTTTTTAGGAAGAGATCGGATAACCATTTGTCAGAAGTGGTGTAGGGTTTCCGGCCTAAGCAGGGGGTTGGACTAGAAGACCTCCAAAGTCCCTTCCAACTCTGCTATTCTATTCTATTCTATTCTATTCTATTCTATTCTATTCCTTATTCTATTCTATTCCTTATTCTATTCTATTCTATTTTATTCCTTATTCTATTCTATTCTATTCCTTATTCTATTCCTTATTCTATTCTATTCTATTTCCTATTCTATTCTATTCTATTCCTTATTCTATTCTATTCTATTCTATTCTATTCTATTCTATTCTATTCCTTATTCTATTCCTGTATTTCCATTCCATTCCATTCCATTCCATTCTATTCTATTCTATATTCCATTCCATTCCATTCCATTCTATTCTATTTCGTATTCTATTCCTTATTCTATTCTATTCCCGTATTTCTATTCTATTCCATTCCATTCCACTCAGTTCTGGAGGGACTTTGAGTCTTTTCTTAAAAGCCTCCAGTGATGCAGCACCTACTACCACCTCTGCCACAGGGGGCCTTCAAACCTGACCCCTTGAAGACTCGTGGACTTCCGCTCCCAGAAGTCCCTCCTCCAGTCATCTTAGCTCGGGAATTCTGGGACGGGAAGTCCGCCGGTCTTATATATTTGGGGGTGGGGGCTCCAGAGCCTTCAGGTCTGCCTTTCTCCTCTTTGCCTTTTCCTTCCTCCAGATTTGCCCCCTGGAGAAGAATGTGGGCGAATCCATTTGCTCCCTCAAGTTTGCCCAGCGGGTCTGCCAAGTGGAGCTGGGACCGGCCTCCCGTCGCGTCAAGGCCCCGGGCCCCGCGCGGGGGACCCGGGGCCCCCCCCCCCCCCGGTCCTCTGGCAGGTCCCCTCCTCTTGGGGAAGGACCGGGCAGGTGGGCTGCCTTGGCAAATAGGCCCTGCCAAGGAAGTCTGGAAATGCATATTTGAGGGTCCCAGGACTTGGGGGTGCCCTGGTTCTCCTATTCACAGCCCCCCCCTCCGCCTCCCCTCCCCAGGGCAGAGAAAGCTGCCCCCTCCCCCGCATGTGGCTAGCTTGCCCCCTTCCTGAGAGCCCCCCCTCCTCATTTTCCCAGGCCACCCACCCCCCACCCCCGGCAGGCTTTCCCAATTGCATAAAGAGAGTCGGGGGGGCTACATTTTCCTAGCCAGGTTCCTGGGACTAAGCGCTGGCCTCGTTTCTCCTCTCCAGATGGGACTCGGAGTCCATCATCCACAGCCTTCCTCCTCGCATCTTCCTTGCGTTCATCGAGGGTTAAAGGGCAGGGGTCGGGGGTATTGCTGGTACAAGCCCCCATCCTCTAAAGACAGGGACCTCCAACCTTGGCCACTTTTTTTTAAGCCTGGTGGATTTCAACGCCCGGAATTCTGAAGTCCATCAGGCTTAAACGTTATTTTGTAACGGACTCTCCTGCTCAAGCAGGGGGTTGAGCTAGATGACCTCCAAGGTCCTTCCCCACTTTGTTATCCTATGAAAGTTGCCAAGGTTGGAGACCCCTGCTCTTAAGACCCAGGAGTCTATACTGCAATTCCTTGGAACTCCGCCTGGTTTTTCTCTCTGCGGGATGGCCCACCCTCCCATTTGGGGGGGGGGAGGGGACCCCCACCCCCCAAAAAAATCCTTTTTATCAGAGGGCTGCCCAGGCTTCCCACCCAGATGCCAGGAACTGCCTGACCCGATTTGCGTTGGGCCCCTTTTTATCCATGATCCCTGTAATATATATTGTGGTTTTGTTTGAATCACAAGAGCCCAAAGGTATCTTGGAGGTCTTCTAGTCCAACCCCCTGCCTGGGGGGTGTGGGGTCAGGAGACCTTATAATTTCCCCTTTCCTTTCCTGGCTCAGTGTCCTGTCCAAGGGAAAACCTCTTTTGTCGCTGCTCAGGACAGTAAATCAGTATTGCCAGCTCACCTTGTGGGTAATCTTTGTGTGTGTGTGTGTATGTGTGTGATATGTGTGTGTGTGTATACCCTCCTTTTGTGCTGCCGGTGGCATTGGCCAGGCTCACACACTTCACACGCAAGTAGGTTTGCTCCAACCATCATTTGCAATTAAGCTGAAAGTGGCTGTGCCCCAATCCATCCCGATCAGGTTAGCCAATAATGGGGAATATTTGGAGCGCAGGGTTGAAATGAGGGGGGGGGGGGGGTCCTTCGTGCTCTCTTGAGCTTGTTTTTTTCTTTTGTTGGCGTATTATATAAAATAGAAAAATACAAGCTCTTCTCCAAGGCCCCCGAAGGCCAGAGAAGGAATAATAATGGATGGAAACTGATCCAGGAGAGATTCAACCTGGCAATAAGGAGGAATTTTCTGACAGGGAGAAGAATCAACCCATGGAACAGAAGTTGCCTTCGGGAGTTGTGGGAGCTTCATCATTGGAGGCTTTCAAGAAGAGACTGAACGGCCCTCTGTCAGGAGTGGTGTAGGGTCTCTTGCTTGTAGGTAGGTAGAAAGGAAGGTAGAAAGGAAGGAAGAAAGGAAAGAGAAGGAAGGAAGGAAGGAAGGAAGGGAGAGAG